CACATTTCTAGTTTAACATCATTTCTCAAACGAAACCAAATTGTTTTGGGGCCTGAATAGGGCATTTGAATTTCTTATAATTTACATTATTTAGGTTTTATGGCATAGTCCTGCATTTTGAAAATATTTACAGTAGTCTTACTGTAATGCTTTTAATTCCCGCCAAAAAAAGTCTAATATCTGCCATTATGTCGTAATAAATCGGTCTTCTTTTCTGGATCGTTATTTTTCACAATTTTCGGTATTCAGTAATTAATCTTAAACCATTTATAACCTGAATTTAGTACATATCTATAAGAAATGAGCGATTGTAAATAATCTAATACCCAAGATTTTGGAAAAAATAACATTCGGGAAATAACGGATTTGCTACGATATTGGCCAATATGAGAATTTTTTAGCGGGAAAGCATTATAGTATAACTTAATACGAGGGATGATAAAAAATTATCCGGACTTTGTAAATGATTCTTTACCTGATAAATGAATTTACATAAAAATACACGGACAATTGAAATCGGAATCTTTCCCCTAAATGATACAAAAAATAACAACAAGAAATATTAACAAAGTTATGCTTTCATTGGCATGTACATGTAAAGCAATGCGGCGCACGGTATATCTAAAAAATTCACGTTAACGACTTCACAAGCGTATTGTCCTTAACGGAGCAGCTTTTTACTCATACACAAAGTAGGCCAATACGTGGTACACATGTTATCCACTGCCTAATATATATATATATATATCTTTGTACAAGTCGGTATCATATAATTGTATTGTAATAGAATGGATGATGATAAAGAGCTCCTGTAATTACTCAAACTCTCGTTATTTCCTTTTGTTACTTGATTGCTAGAAAAATCGCACATGCAATAAACTATATTATGTATAACAAATAATGTAAAATTATCCTGCCGAATGATAATGTATCATACATACAAGACAATAAAAGAATAATACAACTAAGAACAAAATTGTCATTATTTTGAAATAAATGAAATGCATAGCCGAATTTGAACCGTGACTGTTGACACAATTTCTCCATAAGACTACTGTGTAAACTAATAAAATAATTTATACAATTGTAAACCAAGAATACAATATATGTACATAATGCATTGACAATTATCATTTTAAAATCCTTAGAGATGACTGCACTGTCCCGTAGCTATTGTCGAACATCACTGACAATGTCAGCAGTCAATCGATTGTCATTTTGCAACATCTCAGCGATTGACGTCACCAACGTCCTTAAAATTGCATTTTTCTGTCTCTCCCTTACTTGTTTTTTATTTGTCTATTTCCCTTTCTTAATCCTTTATGCTTATTAACCAGGTTTTCCGAAGGAAAAAACTGGTTATAAGATTGAGGTATGTCGGCGGGCGGACGGGCGGGCGGGCGGACGGGCTCGGTCGTAAACAATTTCTTCTGTGCGCAACTCCTCCTACATTTCTCAACGGATTTTGACCAAACTTTTACAGAAGCTTTGTCATCAAGTGCCCTGGCGCATATTGTCGGGGTTTTGCGATTAGATAATATTTGACCTAATTATGGCCCTTTGTTTTTTTTCCTTATATAAAATATATAGTGAACAATTTCTTTTGTGCGCAACTCCTCCTACATTTCTCAACAGATTTTGACCAAACTTTCACAGAAGCTTTGTCATCAAGTGCCCTGACACATATTGCCAGGGTTTTGCAATTGGTATATATTTGACCTAATTATGGCCCTTTGTTTTTTTTCCTTATACAGAATATATAGTGAACAATTTCTTCTGTGCGCAACTCCTCCTACATTTCTCAACGGATTTTGACCAAACTTTCTCAGAAGCTTTATTATCAAGTGCCTGGCACTTATTGTCGGGGTTTTGTGATTGGATAATATTTGACCGAATTATGGCCCTTTGTATATTTTTTCCTTATACAGAATATATAGTGAACAATTTCTTCTGTGCGCAACTCCTCCTACATTTCTCAACGGATTTTGACCAAACTTTCTTAGAAGCTTTATTATCAAGTGCCTGGCACTTATTGTCGGGGTTTTGTGATTGGATAATATTTGACCCGAATTATGGCCCTTTGTATATTTTTTCCTTATACAGAATATATAGTGAACAATTTCTTCTGTGCGCAACTCCTCCTACATTTCTCAACGGATTTTGACCAAACTTTCTTAGAAGCTTTGTTATCAAGTGCCTGGCACATATTGTCGGGGTTTTGTGGTTGGATAATATTTGACCGAATTATGGCCCTTTGTATATTTTTTCCTTATACAGAATATATAGAGAACAATTTCTACAGTGCGCAACTTCAAAAATTAAGCAAAAATAAAGTACTGTTTACCTTTCTAAAACATTTGGGGAAAAAAGGCGAATAGACAAAATAAAATTTCTCAATCATTTTTGTTTGAGGAATATTAAAAAAGCCATAATTCCTCCTAAAAATTCAATTAAAAACAAATACCCCTTCATGACAAAGCTTCTGTGAAATATTTTGCTGAAAACCTGGTTGCATCGCATTGCGATGTTCCTTGTTGAAAATTATGCCTTGGCTTACTGGAACTTTTCACTTGCAAGTCATAATCTTTTTCTACATTTTAAATGTTTTCTCGCCTTACTTATGAGAAACTTTTTGATTGATTTCCGAGAGGTTCCAACGACATAGTTTTAACGCGTCAGTATTTCTTTAACAAAAAAAGTGACGAATGAATTGTGATTACAAATATAAATATGATTTAAATGAAGTCATTGTTTTCTGACAACGTCAAAGATATGGTTGATGACGTTTAGGAGTATTTTGAAATCTAAATTAGCCATATTGTAAAATATACACAGTATTACGTGCAGGATGACAACGCAAATTAACGCACTGCGCCAGGTGTGCGTTACCATGGTTTTTGAAATCTCTGTCAGGGACAAGCTATTTGCGTTATCAGATTATATATAGCATCAGTTTACAGGTATTGTTTTACAATTAAGTGTGATATATAACAATAAGTGATAGGTTGAAAATTCTTCAATTGACATTCACAGTCCGGTTTATTTTTGATCAGCCCTCGTATATATTTTAATAGCTGACAAAAGTTTGTCTGGACAAATAGTACTAAATTTTCTGATTAGCACAATTTGCCTTTGCTTTATACTTCAAATAAGCATTGCTTATTGAAATTGCTTTATTTACATATAATTGTTGTTTTATTTACTCACAAAATTACAACCTTTCTTACATAGGAATATCATTCTTTGCATTAAAGGAGCTCACATGAGGTTGAAAAGCCTAAAACCAAAAAACTTGAAATTGACCAAGAGATGCACTTATAATGGATAAAAAACTGCAAAAGATAATGAAGAAAGTGTTAAATTTGAAAACAATTTTTTTTCACAAAAGCAAAGCAATGCTTCTCATTTTTGGTCATTCTGCACAGTAGAATAATAAATGATTATTTTGGGGGAAATGGGTTGAGGGAATGATCTGAAAATTTGCACACAAGTTATTCGTCCAGACTGACACCAAATGGTACACAATTCTTGAAAAAATTATTTCCAGCCCCTTCATGTCAAAATTTTTCAGTCAAGTCCCTTAACATTAACATAAAAATGACATTACTTATTTTCTTTTATTATTACTGAACAGTGAACCGTATTTGATTATTTTATACTCTGATATTTTCATGTCATTTTGTCAGTACATAATCATAGAACAATCAGGATATAATCACAAATAATTATATCAGCCATTAAACTTTTTGTGCCCCCTCTTTAGGGGGGGGGCATTTAGATTTACCCTTGTTTGTCCGTCCTTACAAACCAAGAGGTACTTGTATGACTTGGACAACAATGGGTAACAGTTAATTCTCTTTGCTCCTATTCATTCCGTTTTTACTTGTGTGTCTTTTTTTAAACCTTCAATGTGTTACTAAAAATTGCCAAAAAGATCAAAGGAAAAGTCACATAAGTACCATTTTGTGAGTATGGCCGTCTGTCCTTCTGTCTGTCGGTTCTCTTTTGAGTCGCATGCAGCTAAAAAGTATGTGACCTAGTGTCATGAAACTTTATAGAAATGTTGATCAGCATGTGTAGTTGTGCACCTGGGTATTTTTGTGTGGATATATTTAGTAGTTTTAGAGTTATTCGTAAAAAATTACAATTTTCAACTTGTTTCAAATGTAGGTAAAAAAATATTTGACCTAGATATATGAAACTTTACAGGAATGTTGATCAGCATGTGAAATTGTGCACCTGGGTATTTTCATTTGGATATGTGTAGTATTTTTAGAGTTATTGCTTTTGACTCAGTAAAAATTTACAATTTTCAACTTGTGTTGCACGTAACTTATAAAGTATTTGATCTAGTGTCATGAAACTTTACAGGAATGTTGCTCAGAGCATGTGAAGTTGTGCACCTGGGGTTTAATTTGTGGATTTATTCTGTTTTGTCAGATTTATTGCCCTTGATTAGTGAAAACCGGTCCATTATGTTGTGTTATTTGTTCCTCAAGTGCTTGAGTTAGAATCAACCAATTTTACAGGTATAATGATCAACAACATGACTGTGAAGCTATGCACCTGGGGTTTTGCATGTGGATTCTTTTCAGTTTTGTTAGAGTTCTTGCTCTTGACTGAGTATAAATTTGCAATTTTCAACTTGTTCATGCATACTCAAAAAATATTTGACCTGTAGGTCTGAAAGTTTACAAGAATGTTGGTCAGCCATATACTTATGCACCTTAGGGTTTGCTTGTGGATTTATTCAGTATTTGTAAAGTTCTTGCCCTTGACTTAGGAACAGATTTTTAGTTTTCAACTTGTGGCACATGTAGCCTAAAAAATATTTGACCTAAAGTCATAAGATTGACAAAATAGTGGAGTGTGGGGGCACCAATGTCCTATGGACACATTTCTAGTTAATTATTGAATCATCCACTTCATTTCTGTTAAATATCACTGAATCATTTACATCATCTATGGTCAATACCTAATTACTGTACCTTACTACACAGGTTACTTCAGGTGTGGCAAGTAGTTCTAGTACCAATGTGTCCATGGCCTTAGATAATGGTGGTGGATCTGGGGTTCTCATGGTGACCAGGACTTCACAGGCATCCCCACCGGTGAATGGACTCGTTGAGTTGTCTCTTTATCATGACAGAAAGGTTTTGAAGAAGGGTATAACTTTTCTCTCTGCATAGCTGCTTTAATTGAATCACTTATCGGTTAAGATTTATAAAATCTAAAAAAAACACATGAAATTCTATTTATGATACATTATTATAGGAAATATGTTTAGAGTTTTATATTGAAATTTTGTATCATTTGTCGTCTTTGTGGGGGAAAAAACCCAGTAAAGTTAAACATAAATCAGAACATATAGAATGAGATATTTGATACTCTTTGTCTTAAAGCTAGCAAAAAATACAAGAATCAGTATAACTATCATTTTTGATAGAAAAAATACATGTAACATTAATGCACTCAAAACTTGATTCTATGGATGTAAAATTTTTCAATTTTTGATTCAATAGTTTAGCTAGGACATCATTTTCAAATAAAATAGAATAATCTGAAGTTTATAATTAAGTTGATTACTAGAACTTGTTCAATTTCAGATATAGAAATTTCTATAACAGCAGAGCAATTCCAAAGGGAACTAGAGTCAATTCAAGGCATGGGATTTGTAAATGTAGTCAAGAAGGGTGATAGTTTTAACTTTAATTTGACTATAACATTTCTTTCACTACCAGGAGATCTTCCCAATATGGAGGTAATGATTTGGAGTTAACCCAACCATTATTTGATATTATATTATGCACGCGGCGTCTAGTAGATATGCATTTGTCTATACAGCAATGGGGGAAATTTTAGACTTGATTTTGTGTATTTTTTTTTGTTATAACAAAATCACATTGTTTTCAAATTTTCTAATAAAAATACATTTTCTGATGTACAACATGTCACAGAGCTTTAAGGGATTAGAATAAACGTTTAACTGAAGTGATAGTGCCATGTTTGAATATCATATTCTTTTTATAATTATCTAATTTTATCTACATGATAAATAACATGCCAATGAGCCAGTCTATAGTCGATTGTTCTAAAACTTAATCGTTGAGAGTGGTAAAAACTGAGGCAGTGTCACTCACTTCATTTGCTCTGCCTCTGTTGAAGTTTGGCTCCGCCTTAAATTGTCGCCAAATTTAATATGATGCTCTGTATGCTAGCATATAGTCTTCGTTGACGGGGTGGAAGGGAACCAGGACAACATTGATCAATATCACTTGTCGAATCATTAAATTACAAGTTACAAAGCCTAAACCATGCCCACTATCTGAGAGGTGGTTCTCCCTCAACCGTTAAGAAAGTACGCCAAACTCTGCGCAACAGTTACGCTACAGCAAGTAAGGGGAGATCACTGCAGAACAGTTTGTCCTCAAAATCATTCTAACATTATGCAATTTGTACAAATATTTAAAGGACATATTCTCGGCACATATTGTCTTGAATTTATTTTAAGAATACCAATCATTTCAATTTTACTTGTTATCCATTTAATTTTGCTTCTACCAGATGTTTCAATCTTTGTCGCAACAGGCAAACATTTCAGAATTTCAGACATGGCATTACTTTGTGAATTTATGCATTAGGTTCTACTTTTTCACAAAAATATGCAACTTAATTATTATTTAACAACGAGCACATACCTAAAGAACATGGAGAAAAAACTGATTTGTGCTTCGGATATTCAACTGTAATAGAGAACGATTATCAATGCTGATTGATTGTTCACATTATTTGGAGGCGTCTTTGATGTGCAGCATCAACATTTAACTTGTAAAATGTTAATACATTCGTTTTCATAACATCTTAGATTTTAAAAAAGCGTATCTGTTCAATAAACAGTGTAGAGTGGATTGTAGTGGTATGATTAACTTCAACATGTCTTCATTTCTTAAAATAAACTCAATTATATGCTATTTTTTACCATATTGCATCATTAGTTTTAGTGTGAAATTAAAGTTGCATGTTATATTGCTTTACACTCACCTGGATCATAAGATCTGTCACACAAACATTTGAGCCGCGTCACGACAAAAGCGACATAATGGGTTTGTGACCAGCATGGGTCCAGACAAGTCTGCGCATCCACAAACCCTATTACAAGTAGAGAAACTGATGGCGAACTGCGTGGATCCTGATCAGACTGCACCGATGCGCAGGCTGGTCTGCATTGCTGGTCTGGATCCATGCTGGTCGCAAACGCACTATGTTTCTTTCGTCGTGACGCGGCTCATTTGTCTGTCATTTATTGGTGGTTTTCTTGCTTTATAACATCATGAAATAATGAAAAGATTCTTCAACCACATGCAAACTTTTATAACATTGTCCTTAACTCGTTTTATATATCATATTAAGTTTCTATTAAATAAAAAATCATTTAAGTTTTGAACATGTAATGATATTGATGGATATGTGGTCTTTGTACTGAAATTAAAAACTCAACTACGTGTGATGTTAGAAAATATATAGATATTTATGATGAGCACTAGAATGGATTGTCTGAATTATTCTAGGTTTCGTACGACCGTCTTCAAGGAATAGAGGCTCAAGTTATTGTTGAAACAAAGGAACACGGAGGCTTGTTTTATGATCCACTTACAGGCGATATGGTATCGACGGTGCACAGCTCGCCTCAGGTTAGACTTTTCATCAACGATATACCCACGGCTTGTACTGATGACTGCTCGTTCAACTGGGATTCATCCTCCACGCCAACTATTTCCGGTATCAGCCCACAATCAGGTGCAATTTCTCTTTAGATTTTTACCTTAAACAATCTTTTTAAATTTAACTTAATTATGCCACCCATTGAAAAGGGAGGGCATATTGCTTTGCTGCTCTTCGTTGGTCTATTGGTCGGTCTGTATGTCTTGTCAGTCCACCAACAATTCCTGTTCATTTTCTTTGCAGAGGTTGCACATTCTGAAATAAAATATGGTATACAGATTCATCATAAAAATATCTAGCTTAATAAAATCTCTTTCGCTTACGGTAGAGCAATTTTTGCCAATGAAATACCCCTATTCTCAGAAAAATTCCAATTATTTGCGGTTTCCAATTATTTTCTTTGCAGACATTGCACATACTGAAATGAAGTTTAGTATACAGGTTTATCACAAGAATATGTAGCTTAAGTTCCCGTTTACTTACGATCGGGCAATTTTTGCCAGAGAAATGCCTTTTGGACTTAGTTCAGTTGCAGCTCATTTTCTTCGCAGAGGTTGCACAAACTGAAATGAAATTTAGTATACAGGTTTTATCATAAGTATATGTAGGTCCAGTTTCATTTTAGGAACGATCAAGCAATTTTTTACAGAGCTATTTCACTTTGACTTAAAAAAATTACAACTATTTGCAATTTTATTGTTTATATTCGTCGCAGAGATTGCTCATTCTGCAATGAAATTTGATATACAAATTTATCATATCAATTTTGGGTACAATCAAGCAATTTTGACTGAGTTATGCCCCTTGGACTTAGAAAAAAATCCAGTTATTTGCAGTTTCTGTTAGTTTTCATTGCAAGGGTTGCATATACAGAAATAAAACTTGGTATATCACATTAAGTTTTGTTTTGTGTACATTAGAAAGTTTTGACAAAATTATGACATATTTGATAATTTCTACAAGATGTTCTTTATTGATAAAAGCTTTTTTCATTTCAGGATCATCATCAATATCTACGACTGTTTTTATTACTGGGACAGGATTCAGTACAGTCATAAGCAATAACCAGGTGACAATCGGAGGATTTGAATGTACTGTAACTGGTTCATTGGCGACTATTATCACGTGCGATGTTGGTAACGGGCCAGAGGGACCACATTCTGTAGTTGTGACAGTTGATGGTAAAGGTAACGCTGAAGGTAGCGTTCAGTTTACTTACACAGCAGGTATATCATCATTGGCCCCTACGTCAGGAAGTATTGGAGGTAAGTCAACATCGTCATCAATTAAGCATTAAACTTACCAATGTGCAAACATGTGTTATCCATATGAATATGTGTCGCTCATCTCAAATGAAGTGCTAGACAAATATAAATGAGGCATGATGCGAGATAACTGGTCCTAATGACATTTTTTTCGAAATTTGTTTTTTAACTTATTGTAGATAATATATGAATTATGAAAGCAAAACTCAATACAATACAATGTTAATTTATTGTCCCCAACCTTTTCAAAGAAAAAAGGTGGAAAGAAAAATAGGCTCCATCCGTCTGTCCGTCCGTCCATCACACTTTCGTGTCTGGTCCATAACTTTGTCATTTATTAAAGGAATCTGAAATAACTTGGCACAAATGATTGTTATAATAAGTAATGTGTCATGCACAACAAATAGACCCTTACTTCCAGGGTCTAGATCGCACTTGCTCATTCAAGGTCAACATTGCCTATTTGAGAGTATATGTCGTGTCCGGTCCATAACTTCCTTATCTTTGAAGGGATTTTGTAAATACTTGCCACAATTGTTCACAATAATGAGACAGTGTGTCATGTGCAACAACTGGTCACCTACCTCCAAGGTCAAGGTCACACTTGGACGTCAAAGATTAACATAGTCTGTTACAGGGTATATTTTGTGTCTGGACCATAACTTTGTCATTTATCAAAGGAATCTGAAATAACTTGGCACAAATGTATGTTATAATAAGACGATGTGTCATGCGCAACAACCAGACCCCTACCTTCAAGGTCAAGGTCGCACTTTGCTCATTCAAGGTCAACATTGTCTATTTGAGGGTATATGTTGTGTCCGGTCCATAACTTCCTTATCTTTGAAGGGATTTTTTGTAGTTACTTGCCACAATTGTTCACAATAATGAGACGATGTGTCATGCGCAACAACCGGTAACCTACCTCCAAAGTCAAGGTCACACTTGGAGGTCAAAGATTAACATAGTCTGTTAAAAAGCAAAATAGACACTACACTACTCAAATAGACACTACAATAAGACAATGTGTCATGCGCAACATGTGCATCCCTACCTCCAAGTTCAAGGTCACACTTAGAGGTCAAAAAGTAACATAGTCTGTTTATGGGTATATTTTGTGTCCTTTCTAGAACTTCTTCCGGATTTTGAAATAACTTGGCATAAATAGTCACAAAAAAAAGATGATATGTCAAGTACAACACCTGCATCCCTACCTCCAAGGTCAAGGTCACACTTAGAGGTCAAAGGTTAACAGAGTCTGTTATATGGTGTATTTTGTGTCCGTCCATAACCTCTTCATAGATCAAGGGATTTTGAAAATAAATAATAAATAGTCACAACGATAAGATGATATGTCAGGCGCAAAACATGGGTCCCCACCTCCAAGGTCAAGGTCACACTTAGAGGTCAAAGCTTAACATGATAGATTTTTAAGTTCCTCATTTCATTTTATTTCTTTAATTGTCTCCTGCCTTTTCGAAGAAAAAAGGGGGATATAGAAATAGGCTCCGTCCCTCAGTCCGTCCATCTGTCTGTCACACTTTCGTGTCTGGTCCATAACTTTGTCATTTATCAAAGGAAACTAAAATAACTTGGCACAAATGTTTGTTATAATAAGACAATGTGTCATGAGCAACAATAAGACCCGTGACTCCAGGGTCAAGGTCGCACTTGCTCATTCAAGGTCAGCATTGTCTATTTGAGGGTATATGTTGTGTCCGGTCCATAACTTTCTTATCTTTGAAGGGATTTTGTAAATACTTGCCACAATTGTTCACAAAAATGAGACGATGTGTCATGCTCAACAACTGGTCACCTACCTCCAAGGTCAAGGTCACACTTGTAGGTCAAAGATCAACATAGTCTGTTATAGAGTTTATTTTGTGTCCGGTCCATAACTTTTTCATAGATCAAAGGATTTTGTAAATACTTGCCACAAATAGTCACTATAATAAGAGGATGTGTCATATGCATCACCTGCATTCCTACCTCTAAGCTCAAGGTCATCTTAGAGGTTAAAAATTAACATAGTCTGTTTTAGGGTATACTTTGTGTCCAATCTAGAACTTCTTCGAGTTTTGAAATAACTTGGCACAAATTGTTACAATTATAAGAGGATATGTCAAGAACAACACCGGCAACCCTACCTCCAAGGTCAGGATCACACTTAGAGGTCAAAAGTTAACAGATGCTGTTATATGGTATATTTTGTGTCCCATATATAACTTCTTCCAGGATCAAGGGATTTTGAATATATTTGTCACAAATAGTCACAATGATAAGATGATATGTCATGCGTAACAACTGTGTTCCTACCTCCAAGGTCAAGGTCACACTTAGAGGTCAAAGATTTACATAGTCTGTTATAGGGTATATTTTGTGTCCAGTCCTTATTTTTTCATAGATCAAGGGATTTTAAAAATACTTTGCACAAATAATCACAATAATTAGACCTCCAAGGTCAAGGTAACATTTTCTTTCTTTAAAAAATTTATTATTGCATTTGCAGATCTAGCATCAATCATAATTTTAGACTGAAAGTCCTGAGAGCCATACCTTAATCTTTTGAAATAGCACAATTTTATTCTTCAAATAAAACCTCCCCGAGGCGGTGGACGTTGGTAACTCTGTTACAAATTCTTGTAAATTTATTGTTGCATTTGCAGATAAAGCATTGATCATAATCTGGAACTGAAAGCCCTGAGATCCATACCTCAATCTTTTGAAAAAGCACAAATTTATGCTTCATATAAAACTTCCCCGAGGCAGGGGACGTTGGTAACTCTGTTACAAATTCTTGTTCTATATAAAGGCACCACTCGGAGTTGCCAATTAGTTTATTCTTTTGCATATTGTATACTGTAAGTAAACTGTAGATTCTATAATGTAAATGTCAGTGTGGTACTACTAACAATAAAAGATTATCAATGCTATGCTCTTATTATAATTTGTAAACATGCATAGATGTAATAAGATTTTATGCCCCCCTTCGAAGAAGAGGGGTATTATTGTTTTGCTAATGTGGGTCCATCGGTAGACCACATGGTTTCCGCTGATTATCTTGAAAACTATCACAAAGTCTTCATATTTCACATACTGATTGGTCATAACTAGAAGATGACTGCTATTGATTTTGAGGTTACTAGGTCAAAGGTCAACATCACAGGGGCCTTAAATGTCAGAATGGTTTCCGTTGATTATCTTAAAAACTATTTATCACATAGTCTTGATATTTCACATACTGATTGGTCATAACTAGAAGATGCTCCTATTGATTTTGGAGTTACTAGGTCAAAGGTCAAGATCACAGGGGCCTTAAATGTCATAATGGTTTCCGCTGATTATCTTAAAAACTATTTATCACATTGTCTACATGTTTCACATAGTGATTGGTCATTTCTAGTAAATGACTCCTATTCGTTTTGGGGTCACTAGGTCAAGGTCACAAGGCCTTGAATGGTAGTACAATTTCTGCTGATTATCTTGGTTACTATGTATCACAAAGTCTTCATATTTGACATATTGAGTGGTTATAACTAGTAGATAACCCCTATTGATTTGGGGTCACTAGGTCCAAGGTCAAGGTCACAGGTTCTATGAATTGTAGTATGATTCCAGCTCATTATCTTGAAAGCTGATTATCACAAAGTCTTCATATTTTACATAGTGAATGGTCATAACATGTAAATGACCCCTATTGTTTTTGGGGTCACTAGGTCATAGGTCAGGTCACAGGTGCCTTGAATGGTAGTATGATTTCTGCTGATAATCTTGGTTACTATTTATCACAAAGTCTTCATATTTCACATATTGAGTTGTTATAAGTAGTAGATAGCCCCTATTGATTTTGGGGTCACTAGGTAAAAGGTTATGGTCACAGGGTCCTTGAAATGTAGTATAATTCCCGCTCATTATCTTGAAAGCTAATAATCACAATGCCTTCATATTTCACATAGTGATTGGTCATAACTTGTAAATGACTCCGTTTGATTTTGGGGTCACTAGGTCATAGGTCAGGTCACAGGTGCCGCGAATGTTGTATGATTTCTACTGATAATCTTGGTAACGATTTATCACAAAGTCTTCATATTTCACACATAGAGTTGTTATAACTAGTAGATGACCCCTATTGATTTTTGGGTCACTAGGTCAAAGGTCAAGGTCACAGGGGCCTGGAATGGTAGTATGATTTTAGCTGATTATCTTGGTTACTATTTATCACAAAATCTTCATATTTCACATATTGAGTTGTTGTAACTAGTGGATGACCCCTATTGATTTTGGAGTCACGAGGTGAAAGGTCAAGTTCACAGGGGCCTTAAATGCCAGAATTGTTTCTGCTGATTATCTTAAAAACTAGTTATCACATAGTCTTCATATTTCACATAGTGATTGGTGATAACTAGTCAATGACCCCTATTTATTTTTGAGTTAGTAGGTCAAGGTTACAGTAATCTTGAAAGCTGATTATCACAAAGTCTTCATATTTCACATATTAATTGTCCAAAACTAGTAGATGACCCCTATTGGTTTTTTGGGTCTCTAGATCAAAAGTCAAGGTCACAGGGACCTTGAATGGTAGTATGATTTCTGCTGATTATCTTGGTTACTTTTTATCACAACATCATCATATTTCACGTATTAAGTGGTTATAACTAGTAAATAAACCCTATGGATTTTTGGGTCATGAGGTCAAGTTCACAGTGACCTAAAATGTTAGAATGGTTTCCCCTCATTATCTTGGTTAATTTTTGTCACAAAGTCTTCATATTTCACATATTGATTGCCATAACTAGTAGATGACCCCTATGGATTTTTGGGTCAATAGGTCAAAGGTAAAGGTCACAGGTGCCTTGAATGGTAGTATGATTTCTGCTGATTATCTTGGTTACTATATATCACAAAGTCTTCATATTGGACATATTGAGTGGTTATAACTAGTAGATAACCCCTATTGATTTTGGGGTCACTAGGTCAAAGGTCATGGTCAAAGGGGCCTTAAATGTCAAAATGGTTTCCGCTTATTATCTTGAAAACTATTTATCACAAAGTCTTCATATTTCTTATATTGATTGGTCATAACTATTAGATGACCCCTATTGATTTTTGGTCACTAGTTCAAAGGTCAAGGTCACAGGGGCCTTAAATGTCAGAATGGTTTCCGCTCATTATCTTGAAAACTATCACAAAGTCTTCATTATTTTTCTTTTTTCATAACTAAACACTTCTATATACCCATTTATGGCAAGTTTCTATAACAATATAACCAATAATGTGAGTCAAAGGCTAGAAAGGGCCGCATGTGTCGTTCGGCATTTCTTGTTGTTGGTTTTCATCAATTATACATTATAGACACTTACTTCTAATTCCTCCTCCATCTTATAATTTTTCCTCTGAATTTCAAAGATAAAACACTTTAAAAAAAACTCAATAGCACATGATAAAAAAATCATTTCTGTGTATACGCAACAAGAGTGATGCACATTTATTGTCGAGTCATTATGACTGGTTTTCTCACGTCGCACGTCAAATATACTCTTCATTTGTGTCATCTTTTCATATAGAAATGTATCTGTTCAATCACTGAGTACCTTTTGACCTGTAAAATATTCTTATTTGACAGAAGGAATCGTAATTTTTAATTCAGCACATTTTTTATGAAGAAGAAAACAGGAAAAAATCAATTTTTCATGACTTAAATTTCTAGATTTTTACGTGTTGAAATAATTCAAAGAATAATTAAATTTAACCTTTTAAATATATACATGTGGTGATTGTATCACTTTCTTTGATCTTAAGGTGGTGTTAAACTAACAATCAGTGGTTTTGGTTTCAAGCACTTTGGTTACAAAAATGGAGCAAATGTAACAATCAACGGCAAGATTTGTTATATACTTTTTAGACATACAGATACAATTGTGTGTTTGGTTCCACAATCGGTAAGAATTAACTTTTCTTAAAGTCATTATTCTCTACTTAATGTGATATGTGTAATGTTAATGTCATACTTGCAACCTAAGTGTCATATTTATAACATGAATTTCATACTTGCTACCTTAATGTCATATTTGTAAGGTTAATGTCATACTTGCAACCTTAATGTCATAGTTTTAACCTTAATGTCATATTTGCACTCTAAATGTCACATTTGTAACGTGAATGTCATACTTGCAACCTAAAATGTCATATTTGTAACATGAATGTAATACTTGCAACCTTAATGTCATATTTGCGACTTTATGTCATATTTGTAATATTAATGTCATATTTGTAACCTTAATGTCATACTTGCAATCTAAATGTCATATGTGTAACATGAATTTCATACTTGCAATTTTTATGTAATATTTGTAATGTTTATGTCATACTTGCAACCTAATGTCATATTTGTAACCTTAATGTCATACTTGCAAGCTTAATAATCAGTTTTATATAAAGTTATATAGTGAAATCTCAAAAATGACAAGGCCTAGGGCTTTGATATTTGGTATGTAACTTTATCAAATGGTCCTCTGCAAAGGTTATTCAAATAATGCCCCTAGGGTCAAAAGGGACCCAATTATTGGGCTCATCAATTTAAGATAAAGTTATATAGGAAAATCTTCTTGTCAAATACCTCAAGGCCTAGAGCTTTTAATATTTGATACTTAACATTATCTAGTGATCCTCTACAAAAACTGTTCAAACTATGCATATTGTGTGAAAAGGGGCCAACCAGGGGGTCATCAGTTTTACATAGAGTTATATTGGAATTAAAAAAAAAAATCTTCTTGTCAAAAACCACTAGGCCTATATAGAGCTTTAATTTTTGGCATGTAACATCATTAAGTGGTCCTCGAGAGAGAGATTTTTTAAATTAGGCTCCTAGGGTCAAAAGGGGTCCCTAGTGGTTCTTTTTTCTCATTTAAGATTTGGGGTTTTAATTGTGCTTTTTTATGCTAGAGTTGCAAAAAGTGATACACTGATATGTGATAAAGTGTATTACTACAAGATAAATGTACAATAAAAAAAGGAATACTTATGTGTCATGACACCAGATATGACGTCAATAAAGCATTAAATGACATCAGGTAAATTACATCTAAACTCAATATAGTTGCACATATTTATGCCCCCACAAAGTGGGAGCATATAGCATTGCACTTGTCCATCCGTACATCTGTCCGTATGTCCGGAAATCTTGTGAACACAACTCCTCTTAAACCAGATGGCAGATTTTGCCTAAACTTCCAGGGATGAACAACCTTAATGTGTAGATGGTAGTAAAGGAAGGAATTTTTGCTGTGACCAAATTTAACAGAATTGTGGCCCCATGTTGATTTTTTCATTATAAACTATGTAGAAATTTTGTGAACGCAACTCCTCTTAAACCGGATGGCAAATTTTGCTTAAACTTCCAGGGATGAACAACCTTAATGTGTAGATGGTAGTAAAGGAAGGAATTTTTGCTGCAACCAAATTTAACAGAATTATGGCCCTTTGTTGATTTTTAGTTTTTAACTTGTGGCACATGTAGTCCAAAAAATATTTGACCTAGAGTCATACGATTGACAGAACAGTGGCGTGGGGGGGGCATCTGTGTCCTATGAACACAATTCTAGTTTTATCTAATTTGAATTCTCTTTTTTATTAGGATGTTCGAATTCAAACAAAGTGTCTGAATACCCAAAATGACAACTTAAATATTCTAAACTTTCTTTGCCCAACTTTTCAGGTTACAACAATGTTGACATCTTTGTTAGAAATTATAAGATTACAAATTCTTTCCTTTTAAATTCTTATCATGTTCTGCAATCTTTAGACATCTGCTGGTACTTGGAATGTGGTCGTTCATCAGGGATCTTCTTCATTAAGTTATTCTGGATATACATATGATTTTGGACTAACCGCTTTAGTAAGCAGTGTCGTCCCATCAACAATAGGTGTGACAGGTAATGTAATTTTTTTTGATACTTATTATTATATAAATAACACATGGGTTTGTGGGTAACAGTAAAAATATCATCCCGAGGAAAGTACGCCTCGGTAACAGTATTTTTACAAGGGATGATATTTTTACTGTTACTCACAAACCCATGTGTTATTTATTTTATTACCCTGAACAAAAATACCTTTTAAGTTTTAAATGTACTTTAGGCCGTCTTGAGAAGTTTTCTTTTTCTTTTATTCTTTAAGCAAGTGATGATATCTACAAATCATAAACATACAATAAGCTAGGTTTTATTTAGAAAACAAAACACTTACCCATTTACACAGTTATGATCTGTGAAATCTGATCCTTCTGTTTCCAGAATATTCTTAGCATGGTTTTTGACAATATAACGATGATTTCCTATGTCTGTCCACCATATCTGTAACATTTCACTGATTAAAATTGTTAAATAATCCTTTGTTGCATGCTTAAATCATCTGCAGTGTTCCAGTTTGACACATAATTACTTACATTGCAATTACTTCCGTTGAAAACGGATGTTCACTTTTTGACTATTAAACAAAAAACAAAACCAGGGTGCAAACAACTAAATTTTATGAGTGTCATAGTTACTCCAGAGAAGAAATTGATGTCCTATCGGGGTTTAACGTTGATCGAGAGAAAAATGGCGGCCATTTTATTTCATTTTATTTTGGAAAATGGACCACGTGACACGATTTTACACTACTGTTACCTATGTACTCGTAACAGTACAAAATTCTTAGTCAAGTGGTACACTTGCATTAACAGTAAAAATAACTCCCAGAGGCCTATGGGAAATTAGCATTATGAAAAAAGTGAGGGGGTACTAGTAATAGTATATTATGCTCTATTCACATCCAAAAATATTTAATTCTGCTTTAGAAACTTAAACCTTTCTGCTATTTAAAATGATGAACATAGAATAAAATGCAGCATGATTGAAAAAGATTCAGCACCATGCTTTCATTAGCATTCAGGCAATTGTACAAACTAAATACCTGATTTATGTCTGCTTTGCTATTATAAATTATCTAAAACTTACCTGGATTTGGAACTGATGATTACATTGTGGTTGTGAAGGTTGAGGCGGTCAATTGTGAAATTTCGTCTTTTACCAACACCCAGATACTCTGTCAAATTGAATATACAGGTACAATTCACCAAGTAACAATTAATTGCAGTTTTCAATTGCCATATATCACCTGTAAAATGTTGCCAGTATATCACTTTTAGAGTTGTTAATTTATTTTCTGATCCTTCGGATTCATTGATTCCAACACTTCAGTGTTGAATATTGAGTATTGTTAAAGCTGGTGCTAGGGACGTGGGGATGTTAGGCTTTATCTTTATACCTTTTTTTAGCAGACTTAATCTAACCAATTCTGCTATTTTCATGTAATTTTGTTTTAATTGTGCTTCTGAGGGACCTCCCTTTTATACAAATTTTGAAACAAAATATCAAATTAAATAAATATATGAATTTCAAAGTGTTTTAAATGATCAATCTGCATTTTTGCCATTTTTTAGAAAATATTTTTCGCTTTTTTTTATTGTTGTTTCAGGTGGAAATATAACTATATCTGGGTCATCATTTCCTCCAAGCAAAGGGTCTGTACTTATTGGCGTACGTGAAGCAGCCATTATATCTTGGTCGGATAGTCAAATCGTGATATCTGTTCATGATGCAGACCCAGGCATTCAACAGTTAAGAATAGAAACTCCAAATGGATATGCCGTAAAAGCGTACGAAACATATATTATTTGTTTATTCTAGTATTATAGTTATTCTAAAGATTTTATGTGTCATTACTGTTGCCTGTACATTGTTTGATTTGTGTTTATATTATCCTAAAAAAGATTCCTCATTGCTTTATTTACAGGAACACCTTCGAGTTACCAACAGTTAATGTTGATTTAAAAATAACAAATGTTTACCCTCTACAAGGTTCAGTGTTAGGTGGAACGAAATTGACAATTACCGGATCTGGATTTGGAACTGACTTTAACGCTGTGGTTGTGCATTTTCAAAATTGGCATGGGTTTGTCAAAAATGTCAGTTGTGAAATCTTGTCTTTAACCAACACTCAGATACTCTGTCAAATTGAAGATTTAAGAAAAATCCACCAAGTAACAAACATGGGCGTTGATCCAGGTGAGAAAATAATTTTACTCAATATAACTTATATTTAGCTTTTAAAACTCAGTAATTGTTTGACAAATGTTATTATATAAATAACTATATTCCGTAAGGGTGAGATACAGAAATTTAAGTAAAAAGTAGTATTTGATTATAATTCTTGTTTTATGTTAAAATGACATATTTTCATACCTTATTTAGTTGGTTGCAGTCAAACTTTCTCTTGCATCAACATTTAAAAAAACATTTCAAAAATAAAAATAGTAAAGCTTACACAGATTCATTAGCAGTCAATAATTGTCATATATTACTAGTATGTATCGTGTCAGTTTTACATGTGAATATTGTGTTTTGGATATTTTCAGATTTTGGTGTCTACTACGCCTATGACACACCATTTATTACTATTAACGAGGGAGATTTTGTTAACTGGTCGTGGAAAACGGCAGCTTTTGTCACTGATGTCACTCATTCTGTAACAGAAATAGAAAGTCCGGGTTTTTTGGTTGCTAAGGAAGGCGGATTTAGTAGTGGCAGACCCAGCAGAGATGGTATAAACTGACCTTCATCACTTTTATATATTGTTGCTATGGCTGTAAATTACAGAAGACTTCTAACGTAAAATAAAAAATGATGTGATTCTATTTCTAAATAGTTTCAGTCAATTAATTTTTAAATCGGCTCAGAGCTTGATTATTAAATGCCAATTTATTAAATTGCAATGCCTCTTTCTGGAAACTAGTAATTATACCCCCGCACAACAAAGTTGTAAGGGGGGTATACTGGAATCAGCTTGTCCGTCCGGCCGTCCGTCCGTCCGGCTGTCCATCGGTTTTTTCTTGTCCGCCCAATAACTTAAGATTCCTTTGACCCTTAGTCTTCATATTTGGCATGGAGGTTAGTCATGATTAGTAGATGAACCCTATTGATTTTGAGGTCACTAGGTCAAAGGTCAAGGTCACAGGGGCCTTGACTTCAAAAAGCTTGTCCGCCCAATAACTTAAGATTCCTTTGACCCACAGTCTTCATATTTGGCATGGAGGTTAGTCATGATTAGTAGATGACCTCTATTGATTTTGAGGTCACCAGGTCAAAGGTCAAGGTCACAGGGGCCTTGACTTCAAAAAGCTTGTCCGCCCAATAACTTAAGATTCCTTTGACCCACAGTCTTCATATTTGGCATGGAGGTTATTCATGATTAGTAGATGACCCCTATTGATTTTGAGGTCACCAGGTAAAAGGTCAAGGTCACAGGGGCCTTGACTTCAAAAAGCTTGTCCGCCCTATAACTTAAGATTCCTTTGACCCACAGTCTTCATATTTGGCATGGAGGTTAGTCATGATTAGTAGATGACCCCTATTGATTTTGAGGTCACCAGGTCAAAGGTCAAGGTCACAGGGGCCTTGACTTCAAAAAGCTTGTCCGCCCAATAACTTAAGATTCCTTTGACCCACAGTCTTCATATTTGGCATGGAGGTTAGTCATGATTAGTAGATGACCCCTATTGATTTTGAGGTCACCAGGTTAAAGGTCAAGGTCACAGGGACTTTGACTTAAAAAAGTTTGTCTGCCCAATAACTTTAGATTCCTTTGACCCACAGTCTTCATATTTGGCCTGGATGTTGATCATGATTAGTAGATGACCCCTTTTGATTTTGAGGTCACTGGATCAAAGGTCAAGGTCATAGGGACTTTGACTTCAAAAAGTTTGTCCACCCATTAACTTAAGATTCCTTTGACCCTCAGTCTTCATATTTGGCATGGATGTTGATCATGACTATAAGGTGACCCCTATTTATTTTTAGGTCACTGGGTCAGAGGTCAAGGTCACAGGAACCTTGACAAAAAAATAGCTTTTCTTCTCAATTGTTTAAGAATGTCCTCTCTGCAATGTATTGATTTTGACATTTTCACATTTGAAGCATGTGGAATACATAACTTAGCAATGCACTGGCTTAGTAACCTCAGATTTGGCAGGGAGGTTGTCCTTGAGCTCTAAATGGCCACTGTTGATTCTGACAAAGTGGTATGCGGGGGTATTCACGCCATGATAGTGGCAGTTCTAGTTATGATTGTTTTTCAATGAAAACGCCAAACTTTTGATTTCCATGCAATAACTTTATTTTGCTTTAGCCTATTGGCGCAAATCTTGTGTTTAGGTAGCTTATATCAAGAGGCAGCTTGGGATTGCTACCCAGATGTCTGTGATCAAGGCCATTGTCACCATTGCTTAAAATAGAAATTCAGTTTCCGTTCAACAACTTGAGTTTGCTTAAGCCTATTCACACCAAATTTGGTGTATGGGTAGCTTATACCAAAAGGCAGCTTGGGATTGCTCCCAGATGTCTGTGATCAAGGTCAATGTTGCTGAAAATAGAAATTCAGTTTCCACTCAATAATTTGAGATTGCTTTGACCTATTGTTATATTACGTATATGTGTTAAGCTTATATCAAGTGGCAGCATGGGATTCCTACAAGGTCACAGTTGCTGAAAATAGAAACTCAGTTCAACACAATTATTTATAGCGTATTTCAAGACACTCCTTAAGTTTGCTACCCAGGTGTCTGTGATCAATGTCAAGGTTAATGTGTCTAAAAAATAGAAATTCTGTTTCAGCTCAATAACTTGAGTTACATGTAGCCTATTGAAGCTAAACTTGGTGTATTAATAACTTATATTATCAAAAGGCAGATTGGGATTCCTACCCAATTGTGTTTGATCAAGGTCACTGTTGCTAAAATTAGGAATTAAGTTTCAGCGAAATAACTTCAGTTTGATTGACCTATTGACACCAAAATATGTATGTTAGTAGCAAATTTGATATGTGGGTAGCTTATATCAAGATGCAACTAGTAATTGCTACCCAGATGTCTGTGGTCAAGGTCAATGTCACTGTTGCTAAAAATATAAATTCAGATTTCACGCAATATTTTGAGTTTGCTTTGACATATTGATGGCTTTGACCTATTGACACCAGACTTGCTTTGAAGGCAGCTAATATTAAGATGCAGCTAAGGAATGCTACTTAGATATCTGGGAGTAAGGTCAAGGTCACTTGCCTAAGTAGAATTTTCAGCTTCTACTCAATAACTTCAGTACCTATTGATACTTAAGTTGGCATGTGTGTAACTTACATGAAAATACAGCCTTACATTGCTACTCAGGTATCTGGTATATTTTTGTGCCCCCACTTTAATTGCGGGCATTTAGATTTACCCTTGTCCGTCCGTCCTTCCGTACGTCCGTTCTCTTTTGTGTCGCACGTTACTCAAAAAGTGTTTGACCTAGAGTCATGAAACTTTACGGAATGTTGATCAGCATGTGTAGTTGTGCACCTGCATATTTTCGTCTGGAATTTTTTAGTAATTTTAGAGTTATTGCCCTTGACTTAGTAAAATTTTACGATTTTCAACTTGTGTCGCATGTAACTCAAAAAGTATTTGACCTAGAGTCATGAAACTTTACAGGAATGTTGATTAGCATGTGTAGTTGTGCACCTGGGTATTTTCGTCTGGATATTTGTAGTAATTTTAGAGTTTATGCCCTTGACTTAGTAAAATTTTGCAATTTTCAACTTGTGTCGCATGTAACTCAATAAGTATTTGACATTTACAGGAATGTTGATCAGCATGTGCAGTTGTGCACCTGGGAATTTTTGTCTGGATAGTTTTAGTATTTTTAGAGTTATTGCCCTTGACTTAGAAATTTTTTGCAATTTTCAACTTGTGTTGCATGTAACTCAAAAATGATTTGACATAGAGTCATTAAACCTTACGGGAAGGCTGCTCAGCATATTTAGTTTTGCACCTGGGGTTTCGCTTGTGGATTGATCCAGTATTTGTAGAGTTATTTCCCTTGACTTAGTAAAAACCGTTCCATTATGTTGTTATTTGTTCCTTGAGTGCTTGAGTTAGAATCAACCAACTTTACAGGAATAATGATCAACATCACTAAATTACAGGAATAATGATTCACATCACTGAGAAGCTATTCACCTGGGACTTTGCATGTGGATTTTTTTTCAGTTTTGTTAGAGTTATTGCCCTTAACTTACAGTAGCATACATTTGCAATTTTCAACTTGCTCATGCATAGCTCAAAAAGTATTTCACTTGTAGGCCTGAAAGTTTACAAGAATGTTGGTCAGCATGTGTACTTATGCACCTTGGGGTTTGCTTGTGGATTTATTCAGTATTTGTAAAGTTCTTGCCCTTTACTTAGTAAAAGATTTTTAGATTTCAAAAAATATTTGACCTGCAGTCAAAGGATTGACAACAGTGGCGCGGTGAGGGCACCCGTGTCCTATGGACACATTTCTAGTTATTTTGAACTATTGAACCAAACTTTCTGTGTCGGTTTCATTTTTACTTCACTGCCATATGTCATTCCTTATTCCTGTCACATTAATACTTTGTCGTTGATAACCTAGAGTTTCTTCATATTGCGGCGCTTCTTGTTTTTAGCTCACCTGTCACTTTGTGACAGGGTGAGCTTTTGTGATCGCTTTTCATCCGGCGTCCGTCCGTCCGGCGTCCGTAAACTTTCACTTTAAATGACATCTCCTCATAAACCACTAAGCCAATTTCATCCAAACTTCACAGGAATGTTCCTTTGGTGATCACCTTTGAAAATTGTTCAAATAATTTAATTCCATGCAGAACTCTGGTTGCCATGGCAACCAAAAGAAAAAACTTTAAATATCTTCTTCTAAAAAAACCCCAAAGAGCTAGAGCTTAGATATTTGGCATGAAACATCTTCTAGTGAGTGTCTACGAAGTTTGTTCAAATAAAAGCCCTGGGGTCAAAATTGGCCCCGCCCCAGGGGTTCATTGATTTTCCCCATATGTATATAGTAAAAACTTAAAAAAATCTTCTTTTAAAGAACCCAAAGAGCTAGAGCTATTATAAGATATTTAGCATGAAACATCTTCTAATGGGTGTCTACAAAGTTTGTTCAAATAAAAGCCCTGGGGTCAAAATTGGCCCCGCCCCAGGGGTCATTGATTTTTCCTATATGCATATAGTAAAAACTTAAAAATCTTCTTTTAAAGAACCCAAAGAGCTAGAGCTAAGATATTTAGCATGAAACATGTTCTAATGAATATCTACCAAGTTTGTTCAAATAAGAGCCCTGGGGTCAAAATTGGCCCCGCCCTGGGGGACATTGATTTTCCTTATATGTGTATAGCAAAAACTAAAAAATCTTCTTCGAAAAAATTGGAATAGCTAGAGTGTAGATATTAAGCATGAAACATCTTCTAGTAAGTGCCCTAAAAGATTGTTCAAATAAAAGTCCTGGGGTCAAAACTGGCCCTGCCCCAGGGGTGTCATTGTTTTTAAATATATGTGTAAAGAAAAAACTTAAAAAACTTCTTTTAAAAAATCCAACCAGCTAGACCTTTGATGTCTAGCATGAAACATCTTCTAATGGGTGTCTACCAAGTTTGTTCAAATAAAAGCCATTGGGTTTAAACTGGCCCCGCTCCGGGGGGCCTATATACAGGTGAGCGACTTCAGGGCCATCATGGCCCTCTTGTTCTTTAAATTTCTCTTTAAATATACAAATTTAGACATTTGTTTCTTTACTTTTAGAAAAAGTATAAAAAGTTCAACGTCATCCCTGCCCAGCGGTGGCTCTTGTTTAATGTTAACTTAACCTCTATTTTATATCCTTTTCATACAAGTAACCTTTTTATATATCCTTTATATACACATAACCTTTGTTTAATATTCTTAGGATAAACATAGCCTTAATTATATAACTTGTTGAATTTTAGGCAGCTTTAGGCATCAGTTTGTGAAGGCTGGACTTTACTATGTATGGAGCGGCATAGTCAGCAATTATAATAACAAATATTATATTGGCCAAATCAAAGTTGTCCCTTCAATAACAACTTACCAAAGAGTCAATGTTAGATTAGGAAAGGCATGGGCATTGAGTTACAGGGGAGGTGAGCAGAATTATTGTTCAAAATATTTTATATTTTAATACTTTCTTTGTTGGTCACATTGCCTTTAAAATATTTACCGTTCATATCAAACTCAGATCTGTTCTATGTTTTAATAAAGTAAAGTATTCAAATTATTTAAAAAAAATAATTTTTTTTTATATATCCAGGTTCTTCAAATCCAATAGATGGGTCTAATTGTCAGTCTGTTACATCAGGCAAACAATCCTGTTCTGACTACAAGGTTGATTTTTATGATACTGACAAGTTCATGTTCACCTTCTGGACATGTAGCACACCTGTTGTAAACTCGATCAATGTTAACAGTGGAACAACAAAGACAGATATAGTTATAACTGGTGAAGGATTTTCTAATACAGAATGCCAGAATGAGGTCAGTTTTGGTGGCATCCCTTGCATTGTGAAATCATCTTCTGAAGACACTCTTACATGTAATTTGGAAAATTCAGGAGAACCTGAATTAGGAATACTACATCAGATAGATATGAGGGTACACAATCGAGGCAAAGCGCGTATTAATATCGTAAAGCCCGAAGATCGAGGTTTTGCCGTAATACCAAATATTGAACAAATAACACCAACATCTGGTTCATTGGCTGGTGGCGCCCTTTTAACAGTCTCCGGTTATGGATTTGGAGAATCGCCAATGGTTGAAGTAGATGGATACCAGTGCAAAATCATCACAAATACTTATAAGGAAATCGTGTGTGAAACTCCAAGACATACATTTGAAGGTGAAAAACATGTCACAGTGGAAGCATTTGTAAATGGTGCATCCCATCCTGCAAAATGTGAAACATATTTGAAGAAGTGCCGATTCTTATATGCTCGCTTATATACATCGACTGTGTCTTCTATTTCACCATCATCCATGTCTGGAGCAACTTCATTCACAATCAATGGAACAGCTCTTGGTACAAATATTGGAGAAGTCAGTGTCTCAATTGGTAATGTTATAGGAACTGTAACTTCAGTAGATGTAACAGTTCTTGTTGTAGATGTTAACAACATCCCTGCAGGTGACAATGATGTATTTGTTTATGTTAAAGATTATGGTAAAGCTTCAGGAAGTTTGTCAGTATTTGGAAATCTTATGATAAGTCAAATTTCTCCGTCTTCTGGGAGTATTTATGGTAACACTAAAATTACAATTGAAGGAAATGGCTTTGTTAATACAACAACTGTTACTATCGGCGGAACTTCATGTGACATAGAGTCTACATCTTTGTCTGAAGTGATATGTGTAACTAAAGCCCATGCTGCTGGGTCTACCACTGTTGCTGTGACATCAAACAGAATATATGAGTATTCGACATACAACTACGCAACCAGCTCAACACCGACTATTACATCTTTAAACCCTACCTTCGGAGTTGCTGGGCAGACATTGACCATTACTGGATCAAACTTGAGTGGAGGCAATGTTGCTGTCACAATTGGACAGTCTAGTTGTGACTACATCTCTGGAAATGCAGGAGAAATCAAGTGCACTATAGGGGATAATCCAACTGGAATGGCTAATGTCCTTGCACATGTTGCAAAACTTGGATATTCAAACTCTGATATTGAATTTGAATACCAGCTTAGTATCGATAGCCTACACCCTATCCGAGGTAAATTGACTTGTTAAAAAAAAATTGTTGGATTTCTTGTAATGTAAACAGCGTTAAACCTTTTGTCCTACTTTATGATTTCGCAATACTTTTTTCTGCAAATATTTAAAACATGACAATCATGTAGCCAAGCTTATATTATTGTCAAAAAACAATATATACATGCAGGGTACAATAAGTTCTTTCTGTTACAAACTTTACATATTATAAGTCCCCTACCGGTTTACCGGAGGGGACTTTAGGTTTACCCTCCGTCCGTCTGTCTGTCAGTCCATCAGTCTGTCCGTCCACAAAACTGGATCCTGCGATAACTTGAAAAGTACTGAAAATATTTTTATGAAACTTGATATATGGATAGATGGCAGTATGGAGATTATGCACGTCTTTTTCTTTTCTTCCTATGTTGAAAATTCTGGTTGCTATGGCAACACTTAGACTGAAAATATGGCAAATTTTACACATAAACTGGATCCAGTGTTAACGCAAAAAGTAATAGAAATATTTTTATGAACCTTGTAATATGGGTAGATGGCAGTCTGGAGTTTATGCACATCTTTTTCTTTTCTTCCTATGTTGAAAATTCTGGTTGCTATGGCATTACATAGACTGAAAATATGGCAAATTTTACACATAAACTGAATCCAGTGATAACTCAAAAAGTACTGGAAATATTTTTATGAAACTTGACATATGGGTAGCTGGCAGTCTTGAGATTATGCATGTCTTATCTGTTCTTCCTATTTTGAAAAAAGTATTTGTTGCCTTGGCAACAAATAGGCTTAAAACATGGCAAATATAACAATATTTGTGATTAGTCAAAAAGAGCTGAAAATTTTTATGAAATTGCATCTTTAATTCAAGAGTTATCTCCTCTTTAAGAATTTTGCTTTTAATAATGTTATATTTTGGTAACAGGGATGTTTCAAATATTAACTTAGAGTGTCCTTCAGTTCGTCTGTCTGTCTGTTCATAAAAACTGTTTCCTGTGATCACTTTTAAAGAACTTTTCCAACAAATTTACTTAAAATAGAGAAAAATTGAAACATTAGTGAATGGCCAATGGCCCTTCAGAATGTTGATTGGGTTCTTACCGGTAGGGGACTTATGGATTGCTTGCAATACTTTGATAATTGCTTGTTTTTAATGCAGTAAGGTTTTAAATTTTTTTCAAGAAATGTTGTATTAAGTTACACTTATTACTAGCAATTCCAATTTAAAAAGTGGAACAGTCTAAACTTCTCATAACAGCTTTGAAAAATTAAATTTATAGTTACCTATGCTATTGTTATGTTAGAGATTATCCCAAAGTAGGAAATCTTTATCTAGAAATTTTATCTTTTATACTATTTTTAATTTATTGTTTTCCAGGAGGTAACGCAGGTCATCAAATTGTGGTTATAGGCGGAACAGGGTTTGATGATTCAGCTGTTGTTACAATTTGTGGAAAGACTTGCCAACAAACTCTCGTAACATCATCATCCTACACATGTAAAACACCGGCAAGCTTCGGTTAGGTCAAATCATAACTTACATTACCTCATTCTTAAAATTTGGGAGAATTTATAATTTCCTCTTTTATAATGTTTCTGTTTTCACTTCATCGAGGCAATATCCCCTTTTATATTAAGAAATAAGAAGAGAAGAGGGAGAAATCTTGCACATCTTCATAGTATGTATATTTAATGTAGATACATATAAACAGAATGAAAAATATAACCTTTTTTAGCTCACCTGAGCTTGCTCAGGGTGAGCTTTTAGGATCGTTGAATGTCCTTCGTCCATCCACACTTGTTCGTTAATACTTTAGCAGTCACATTTTGCCTCAATCATCATCAAACTTGGTCAGGATGCTTGTCTAGGTGATAGCTCAAATGAGTTTGAACATAGACCATTTCGGATGAAAAACTAGGACACCGGAGCTAAACATAAAAAAAACCTTTTTAACACTCTAGTGGTCACATTTTTGCCTCAATCATCATCAAACTTGGTCAGAATGCTTGTCTAGGTGATAGCTCAAATGAGTTCCAACATGGGTCATCCTGGATGAAAAACTAGGTCACTGGAGCTAAAAATAGAAAAACCTTGTTAACACTCTAGCGGTCACATTTTTGACTCAATCATCATCAAACTTGGTCAGGATGCTTGTCTAGGTAATAGCTCAAATGAGTTCGATCATGAGTCATCTTGGATGAAAAACTAGGTCACCGGAGCTAAAAATAGAAAAAAACCTTGTTAACACTCTAGCAGTCACATTTTTGCCTCAATCGTCATCAAACTTGGTCAGGATGCTTGTCTAGGTGATAGCTAAAATGAGTTTGAACATAGGTTATCTCGGATGAAAAAATAGGTGACAGGAGCTAGCAATAGAAAAACCTTGTAGACACTCAAGCGGTCACATTTTTGACTCAAGAATCATCAAACTTGGTCAGGATGCATGTCTAGGTAATTGCTCGGATTAGTTTGAACATGGGTAATCTCGGATGAAAAACTAGGTCACAGGAGCTAAAAATAGAAAAATCTTGTTAACACTCTAGTGGCTACTGTTTTGATCCAAATATCCTGTAAATTGGTCTGAAAGTTTGTTTTGATGATTTCTAGGTCAAGTTTGAATATGGGTCACCTGGGGTCAAAAACTACGTCACACTGGCGAAATATGGAAAATCCTTGTTAACACTCTAGTGGCACATTTTTGACTCACCTGTAATGAAACTTGGTCAGAATGCTTGTTTAGGTAATTGTTTGGATGAGTTTAATGGGTCAGGTGAGCGATCTAGGGCCATCATGGCCCTCTTGTTAAATATCTTGTTTTTAATTCCCAACACCTGGCTCATTGTCAACCTATAAAACCTTTTTTATGCTGTTTTTTTCTTTCTCTTGTTTTGGAATGGTATGGATGGAAGGATGTTTGGATGTATGTATGTAACATATGTATGTATGTATACATGTATTGATGGATGGATGCACAAAATAGGACATATTGTGTAAATGATGCCATAAAATTAATATATCATTGCAGAGGAACGGTCTTGTGATGTTTCCATAACTTCAAATGGCTTGACAAAAACTCTTTCAAATGCTTATAAATACCTTTCAACCCTAACATCCTATGTAGAAAATGTGAATCCAAGAAGAGGGGGTACTGAAGGTGGTACAAGCTTGACCATCACTGGGTCAAATTTTGGGTAAGTTTAATTTTCTGACAATTCATGTATATCAGCCTGAGAATTTAAAACTGTTATCTAAATAATGTTTGGTTAAAGAAAAGAAACATTCAGTTTAAACACATTAAAGGAATAGGAATGGATGGATTGATGTCTGTCTAATATAAATATTCACCATTTAAAAAGAGGAACCATGACAGTTTTCCTATTGACATCAACCCTATAAGAGAGAAATTCGTGTTTTAAGACACTATTTTTTACTTGAGAAATAAGTTCATGGGCGCCGCCATTTTGGCGTTCTGTCATTCTCGCGTGACAGACGAGACCGAGATTGTGACGTGTTATACCCACTTCCGGTATAGGTGTACACGCTGGTACAACTGAAATATATCTTGATGAAGAACTTATTAATTTTATTGCGTACATTATATATCATTTATGAAAACATCATATGGAACTGAATTGCTTTAATTAATTAATTGAAGACGCCGCGACATTAATTATCATTTGTCCGATATTCAAGCTTGCTGATGATCCCACCACATGATTTAAGCAATGACTGCTTAATTTTCAAAGATAAACAATAAATTTAATTTGGGTACTATGAAAAACTTCTCCAAATTGACGATATATCCTTTTATTTTGTACTTAATTTTCGCTAGACAAGCTGTCCAAATAGGGTACATCGCCGGTCATGTATCTTTTTTTCAGGTAAAATATCAACTAAATCCAATATGCTGAGGACGCGATTTTCCGCCATTGACGCTAAAAATGAGAATGGCGCAGGAAAATCGGCAGCCAGACTAATATCGTATGAAAACAAAACTGTCCGTTAGGTTATTTAGGCACCCAGTCAAAACTGGTACCAACAGCAACAGGTTGCCCATTCCCCTATAATTACGCATATTCTCGGGTTTATCCAGTTCCCTAAAGCTTTTTTCCACGTTATCTACTTACCAAATTCCTTTCCCCGACAGATACGCATTTCTACTACCGTAAATTTAATCCAATAAAACAAAAAATCATAAATCTACTTAATATTTAAAATGATTATTGGTAACTGAAAAAAAATGTGTTGCTATTTTATGACGTGCTGTAATTTACTGACAGGTGTGGAACCTAATTCCCCCTAAGGTCATTCAGTTCACTGATGAAGCGTAAAAAAAATAGATGTCTATTTCGTCATTAGAATATTTGACAAGGGTGATTAACCAATCAGGGCAACATTGTGCATGATCAAAAGGTCTGTCGGCACAGAGGCATACAAGGAGCAATAAAAATCGTCCGTACACAGTGTGACAGGAACATTTGGTGCAAATTAGGAACAATTAAAATGGACAATGCGCAGTATTAGACATAAGTAGTAAGAACCAGCAATTGTGTGAATAAATTATGCAAATTAGATTTTTGAGCAGCCAATAAAAATGATTTGCCTGCAGTTAATATTAGGCTACGATAACGATGCCCAGCATCATACGTTGACAGACATGTTAACAATTTACTTTTCAAAAGAGTTGCTTATATTTTTGAAATGCGTACATCAATTATAACATATGTTCACACATTTAAATTTGAAAGTCAGAATCAAACTGCAAAAATTTAATTATATGTACTATTAAGAACACATTTTAGTATGGTTTTTATAATGGAAGTGGATAGCGTACGGGCCCGTACGGCTAGCCAAAAGTTTTAGCCGTACGTGAGTCACGTACGACTAGCAAGGACACACTGTATATTGGCTAGCCGTACGGCACTTTTCAAAATTTTATGGAAGTCGAAAATGCATATGTTATATTATGACTTTAAGCAAGGATTTTAACCAAGAAACAGCATTAATTGTCTTTGGATGTTAACTTTTTAGAGATTAATCGCCTTGATCGCTATATATATATATCGATCTTTGTCATCGCAAGATGTCGAGAAAAAATAGCCTTTGCTTGCATTTACACCAATTGAAAAAGTTAACAAAATTTTGATAATAATCCTTTTTTGTTTCATTAATTTTAATTTTCGACACCTTTAATACGAAAAAAAACCAACAAACACTGAAAATGATTGTTGTTAGGCTCTTGATAATTGCGACAATTACCGACGGTACTGTATAGAAGTTTGTCCATCAAGGAAAGTTTGCATGTTCCGTGAAAGGCATTCTAAAATTCTATTGTCAGTCCCTGGATAGGTTTTGATTAAGGCTAATTAATTGATTGACTGTGCTTTTATGTTCGATATTTATCTACTGTTTTGAAAATTATATAATTATTTTGCATTTCACCGTTTTTTTTCCATTCAATGTTCTTTTTATTTATTTATTCCACTCCGATCATTTTTTATTCGATCCATGTGCTTAAAATTAACAAAAATGATTTAATAATTCATACAAATAAAACAACAAATGATAAGCATGAAAATCAACAATTTTATAACGTTCGACTTCCATATAATTTTGAAAAGTGCCGTACGGCTAGACTAGATGGGCTAGACAATACAGTGCGTCCTGGCTAGTCGTTCATGACTCACGTACGGCTAGAACTTTTGGCTAGCCGTACGTTTCTTTATTTATTATTATTATTTTTTTTTTGATATTGTTGCGTATTTTGAACCATAAAAAAAATCTCCTCTACACCTCCTGTGAAAATTAAATTGTCTGGTCAATACTTTATTATATTAATATTTCCTTACGATTCAACTAGATTTATCATGAATCTAAAGATGTGGGGAAATGACATCACGCGCACCTGTTTTTATACGGCCAATACACAAACATGGCCGCGCTTACTGATTTGTAGAAATCGGTGATTTAGCGATTTAAATTTTGATATCATTCGTTTAATATTATTATTTGGCGGCAGAAAATTTGCAGATTTATTATTAATAGTATTCTTTTTCTGAAATCAAGTTTCTATTCTAACCTTGTCTTTCCCTTTAATGCTAGTGTTCCTTTAGTGCGTCTGATTGCTAACAGCTGATTTACGTAGCTCTCATAAAAAACTGTGTAAACACTGTGTTTCGGACTGTTACTGCATTTCTACTACTGTTCAGAATATTGAATGAAGAAATCTAATAAAAGATTCATTCATCCATTGATAAATTAACGCCCAAAATATAGTTACAGGTAACTATTCTGTCAAAAAAATTTCCCGCCTGACCAACCTTGACCTTTCATTGTCCAACTTCCGGTTGGAGAAAAAGGTAAACAATATGTTTGTAGGTATTTTTATATTCCTTCTTTTTCTCTCCACATTACCCTAGGCCCTCCATCCTGCCAAATGCAATGTCACCATAAAAAATCTCCTTATGTGGACTTATCGTAGGCAAACTTAAACTTAGGTGTAGACGCCACCAAATTCCCACCAAAATTCATAGAAGTAAGACCTTATCACATATAGGTCATACTACTGTTGTCTATTTCATGCGATGTTGAACGGAACCCTGGCCCGAATTATCCTTGTGGAAGCTGTGGGTCTGAGGTCAAAGATTCTGACCATGCCGTTGAATGTGATAATTGCTGTATGTGGTTCCACATACAACGTCAAGGATTGAACAGCACATGGTACCAAGATCTAACCAATAGCAATTCATCCTTTGCATGGACATGTACAATATGTGATGATTCAAATCTTTCGAATATCTCAAGCATCCTCTCAATCTCATCACATAACAGAGTCTCTCCACTAGTAGATGAAAATACAGAAACACCTAGCTCTATAAATCTCAAAAATCCAAAACAAAAACAAATTTATTATGTATCCAAACTGTATGCATAAACTGCCAGGCAATATTCAACGAAAAACATAAATTTCAAAATTTATTAATAGATCAAAACCTAGATATAGTTACAGCCACAGAGTCATGGCTAAATAAAAAACACATTAACAGTGAAATTTTCCCACCTGAACTCGGCTATACAGTGAACAACCAAAACTTAACACCGATTGTGAAATAATCTGGATAAAAATAGAAATCAAAGGTAGTAAGTCACTCTTTCTGGCATCTTATTACAATCCACACAAACTTGATATGAATAGTATTTTAGAATTTGAAAAGTCCCTTGAACTTGTGCGTAACTTAAAAGGCACAAAGTTAATCCTTGGCGGTTTTAACCTCCCAATGTTAAATTGGGACTCTGAACATACACAGAATCTTAAAGAAGGCTTAAACACAACTCCTGTGTATGATAAATTTCTAAACATCATTGATGATCATAACCTTGTACAAATGGTCAATGAAAGTACACGAAATGACAATATTCTTGATCTATTGCTCATTTCAAACCACACTCTTGTTAACAACGTCAAGGTCATACCTGGCATATCAGATCATGACATCATATCCACAGAAATTTATTCTAGGCCTACCCTCCTCAAACAAAAACCTCGTACTTGCACCTTGTATAAAAAGGCAAATTGGACTGAGTTGAAAACTTTCATTAAAACCTCAACATCTGAAATACTTCAAAAAGCTGAATCTTTATCTGTTGAAGAACTTTGGGCACAGTTCAAACACACACTTGAGGATGGCATATCAAAATTCATACCAACTAAAAGAATAACAGCTAAACCATCTTTGCCCTGGATAACAAAATCCATTAAAAAATTAATTCATAAAAGAGACCAGCTCTATAAATTAAAAAACCAAAAATAAATCTGATCATGATCAATGGCTTAAATTAAAAAATTTGAAATCGCAAATAAAAGCTAGAATTAAACAATCATATGAGTCTTACTTAGAAAACATCCTGAACCTTGCAGATGATGATGCACAGAGTAAAGTCTGTATCAAAAAACTATACACACTTATAAAAAACTCCAGACAAGATTCACAAAGTGTGTCTCCATTAAAAGATCAAAATTCAGCTTCTCTCAAAATTAATAACACTGAAAAAGCAACAAACAATTTTAATCAGTTTTCTCACCAATTATACCACTCGCACTTAAAGATCAATGCATACAAAAACTGAGACTCATGGATCCCAGAAAGTATTGTCAGTACCCACAAATGAATGACATCATCATTAGTAGGGC